CATCTCCCGCTACTCACTGATAGCCTCCTTGGTGTTCTTTGAACACACTTAGCATGTGCCCAACTCTTGGTCTTTGCATTTACTCTTCCCTTGCCTGGAATATTCTTCCCCCTTCTATATACATGGCTCTTTGCCTGACCTCTTTATCACTGAGCGCTTCACTAAATGACCCCCCCCCCACCCCGCACACACACACACACAATTTAAACTATTCCATCTACTTCTTACAATCCATATCCCCCTCTTTGCTTTAGCATTTACCACCTGACACAATTTTATATTTTATTTGTTTACTGTCTTACTACATTCACTAGTATATGAAGTCCAGTGGTATGCATTTTTATCTTATTTTGTTTTGAGTGCTCACTGAGTGGTCATTTTGTTTTGCCTTATTTTGTAGGCAAAATAGCACCCAGTAGGCTCTTAAAAACTATTATGTGAATGAATAAATGAATTAACCTCGAAATGATTCACTGAGCAATCACTATGTGCCAGCTACTGTGCATGATAAAGGTAATTTAGAGTGAATAAAGAAGTAACCAGACAATTATGATTATTGTTGGTAAATTCTAGGAAAACGTCATAGGGGTGCTTTGGAGAACAAAAGAAGGCACCTAACCCCAAGGGTGAGGGCTCTGAGCTCTGATATTTGGGATGGATGCAGGAGAGGACAGGAGAGAAGAAAGCCCTTTATAGGAACAGACAGAGGTGTAGAACTATGGAAGCCTGGCTTATGCAGAAAACTGCAACTACTGCCAAATCTCAGACTCTTCTAAAAGGCTATGAAAAGCCATTGAAAGATATTTAAGTATGGGAAAAGTATGAACCTATTAGGGGAAGCTCACGCAGGCAGCAGTGTGCAGAAAGGATTGGAGGAGACCAAAAGCAGGGTGGTCATTAGGTGAACGTTATGTTAGCTAAGGGAACGAGAAATGGGTTTAACAGGAATGTAGCAATGTGACTGGAGAAGAGGGCTGGACCATAGAGATATTCTTAAGTATCTGATGGACTGAAGTAGGAGTAAAACTTTACTCTGAGGCCCGAGTAACATGATTTTGGTAAGCAAGTCACCAACATGAGGTCTATCAGGTTTCTTTAAGTTTCTCACCATATGCTGAATACTGTACATAAATGTTTAGATATGGAATCTAGCAGGGGAGAGGAAAAGTTGGAAAGAAAATCAAGTATACTATATAATTTCTTACTGTGTTTACAAGTTTTTATCTGAACTTTATTTTGCATAACTTTCCATGGTGTTTTCTGAAAGATTATTAAAACTGGTATAAAGATTTATATGCAGATTAGTGCCGTTACTCCATGTTTAGAATTTTTCAGTGACTCTTTGAGTTTTTGTCTTTTTGATAAAGTTATACTCATGATGCAGAATTCTTCAATAAAAAGTTTTTACAATTTATATCACCCAGAACCTGTATTTAAATAGGTGTATTTTAAGGTTCTAATTATAGTTGACGTTTCTGGAGTTTAAAGAAATGTAGCTTAGTATGTTGAGATTCTGTATGTTACAGTTTTTAATCTTGACATACATGCAAAAAAAAATTTTGAAAAAATCAAACTAGATTTTTTTATCTTAACTGGTTATATACAAAGTATATGCAAATATAAATAAAGAAGGACTGCTTCATCGATTAATAAAGATGAACCAAAAAGATTATGACTCTAGGTTGGAAATCTACTTGATCCAAACTTACTAAATCATGAGGATAACAATAATGGAATTGTTTTAGAAATCTTGAATCACTAGAACAATTGACTTTAATTTTGGGAATAGTCAGCATTTGTTTGACGAGTGAATAATGAATTTATGGCATTATTCATCCAAGTTGTTGTGCAGGATGAAAATATAAACAAGTGTAAGGAAGATTAGATAGGCTAGGTGTAGTAGCTCACACTTGTAATCCCAACACTTTGGGATGCCAAGGTGAGAGGATCGTTTGAGGTCAGGAGTTCGAGACTAGTCTGGGCAATATAGCAAGACCCTGTCTCTACAAAACATTAAAAACTTAGCCAGACATAGTGACATGTGCTTGTAGTCCCAGCTACTTGGGAGGCTGAGGCAGGAGGATTGCTTGAGCCCAGGAGTTTGAGGCTGCAGTGAGCTATGATCACGCCACTGCGCTCCAGCCTGGGCAACAGAGTGAGACCCCGTCTCAAAAAGAAAAACAAAAATTAAAAAAAAGATTTGATAACTTAGTGAATGTTTCTATGGTATTTGCCCATTACTTTATAAACTTACCTTTGTACCAAAAACTGCAAGACTAATCAAATGTAATCATCTTAACCAACTGGTAGCAACATACCCTAATTTGAAAATCAATTTTTGGGTAGGGAAACTTGGATTTGTAAGCTTAACTTTAATTACCACAGTGTTATAGATATATAATGGTATTATTAATCTAAGGGTACTCAAAACAAATGTATATAAGTAAAGTCTTGCTCAGTAAAAATAACTAGTATTTCTGGATGTGTGCATGCATGCACACGTGTCTGTGTGGTGTGTGTGTGTGTGTGTGTCTGTCTGTCTGTCTGTACTTAAGTGTCCTATATTTTATTCTGCCTTAATCCCAGGTCACCCCCTAGTAATGGATGATACTCTTGTTAGATCTCTACCATTTTTCCTGCCAGAGAGATAAAAGAAGTATATGCACATTTCTGGTAACTGTGAATATATTCTTGGCAGCATAGTTATGAAAATTCTGTAAGACATGTATTCCCAATTTAAAATTAATGTTAAATCTTAAAAACTGCTTTTATTTTTAGAGGTTACCAGAAGTAGCAGTAGTTTCCTAACAGTGAAGGAAAATATTGTCTTTGTAGCCATCCTTAGATTTTCATTAAATATTGTGTTAAAATATACAACTTATTTAATTTTATGAATTTCAGAGTTATGATTAGTCATTCTAAATCTCTGATTTTATGTGATTATGCAACAGAGACCAAATTAGAAAATATCAGATATGTTATTCTCTAACTAAAATACTTGATGTAGAATTCACTCTTATTTTCATTTGAAATATCCCCTTCCAGGGTTATATATCAATGTGATGAAAGAGACAATTTTAGTGAACAACATTTTTTTTTCAAGTGGCAGTTAGGTTTACAGTGGGAAACAAGCCTTTGTGAATTCAACATACACATTCTCAGTCTAAATACTGAATTAATGTACTCCTTGTTCTATGATTTCCTTTCTAACGTCAACATTTTAAGAAGTAAAGTACTCTAGAGACACTGGAGAAAATGGAATGATAGACAATGATAAAACCCAAGTCCTTTCTTGATTCTCAGATCTCCTATCACCACAACCTCCAAATTCTGCCCTTACTTGGTATGATAACATGAACATTTACTTCCCAAACAATTTACCCAAGTGAGGAAATGATTAAATATGTTTATATGCTAAGGGGAAGAACTAGTGAAGAAGTGGAGCCTCTGATACAGATGCAGGGGTAACTGATTGCAAAAGATCCCTGAGGACAGAGACAAGGATGGATTCCAGAGTATACCAGATGAATTTGCCTTGTATAGGAGGAGGGGCTCTTCTTCCCATGATACAGGAAAGAGGTACACATACATTTGGTTTGATGAGAGACAAGATGTCGAGGGAATTTACACTTGATAGTCTCCATTTTCTCTGCAAAATCTAAAACAGGGAGAATTTTAAATAGAGGGAGTGAGATAAGTAGAGAGAATGTCTGACCACACAGATAAAGCAAATAACAAGCTCATTAAACAGTTGGTTGGTTGAGTAAATTAAATAGAAATATATAAAGGCAATATTGCACAGTGTACTTTCAATAACCTAAAGCTGATTATATGAGGAAATTGTTAGTCTTCCTGTGAGGATTGCAAAATAACATGGGGAACAGATTCTCTGAATGTTCCTAAACATTATATATTTTTAATAAAAAGGATGCATGAACAGATCTTCCTCTAACAACCACCCTAGTGTTTTATTTAGTGTTATAGAGTAGGCATGCAACATGCTGATTAACTGAAATGTCACACACTGAAAATAAGCTGGTCGTTAGTTAAATGTCATGGAATAAAGAGCTTTTAACATGAAATGATGAGTGTCTATAACTTTGCTGAAACATACTAAAAAATATTTTTGAAAGAACTGGAAGAAAATGCTTAATAGTTATATTTTAAAATAGATACAAATAGAAATATAGCTATATCTCTTTGAGTTATTTTCCACTGTCTCAAAGCCATGCCTTGCTCTAAATAAAGCCAAGAGAATCCCAACACTGACTTTGTGGTTGAAAAACTGCTAAATCTCAAAACTGCTACATTTCCATGCTGTATAAATATTCTCATTCATCTCACTAAATCTCCTCCACCCAGTATTTTAGTCTAAGAAACAACTGACAGCATCTTTTGTTCCCTTTTCTAGTATATACTCAGTATCATAGTTGACACTGGCCTCCCCTAGTTTGTAAACAAGTTTTTGTGCAGGTTAGTTGACTATATTTCCTAAGAGGAAGAATAGAGAAAAAAAAACAAAAAAACAAAAAAACATGTTTCTTTGTAATGGCATTCAATTATTTCCTTTGCAAATCTGCTTACTGAAGATTTGCAGGCGCAGAAGTCATCTAATGTGTCCATTTGCTGAAAAACTACATTGCATTTTAACTGCTTCTAAGGACTGTATTTTCAGCCTTTTAAATGAGATTAATGTGATACATTTATAGGTATTTTTTTAAAAAACAACATGTGCTGGAACAGCAAAGATCATTTTTTAATAGCGAGGACAAATCAGAATCCTGCTGTATATGCTTAATGTTTTTCACAAGAAAATTAGAAGAAAAGATCCATGTGGTACTTCAAACTGAAATTTTTCTTTCCTTTTTTTTCCTGATATATGAAATGTCAACATAGTTCAGTAAAGCAAAGGGAATCTTAGAGAATAGGACAGTTTAAATTGGTCATCTAAGCTTAAGTGGCTGTAATATTATGTTAATTGAATTATTTTTCTTTTTTAGGGTCCTCTAGGGCCTCCAGGACAAAAGGTAGAGTATAAACAATACTGTGAAAGTAATTATGCTCTCATGACCTAATGGCAAGCAGGAGAGGTGAATGAAATTAGCTACTGTAAGCCATGCTGAAGCAGTTAGTCTGGTTTGTGCATTCTGCTTTCTAAAAATACAGTCATATAATGTGAGCATTAGATGTCTAATTGACTCCATTATAAAAAATTCAATAAATCCAGAGCAGACTCTTTTTAAGTTGTCTGCTGAACTTGTCCGTTACTGAATTTTTAATTCAAATACTGGTAAAACATTATGACAAAATTTAAAATGTGAAAGATAATTTGATATTGCAAAATGAATGCATGGCCTTCCTCAATTATGTGATTGCCAAACGGCCAGGGAACTGAGCCGAAAAAAAGGATATTACTGGGTTCACTATATTCAAGTGGCCTATTGGTGTCCTTCTTGCTGAGGTAACGTGAAAAGTGACTTCCTGATAGTCATTTCATTGTTATCCACAATCATCAGAATTGACCATTAAATTCTGATGGAGAGGCCAGGCTCACGCCTGTAATCCCAACACTTTGAGAAGCTGAGGTGGTTGGATCACCTGAGGTTAAGAGTTAGAGACTAGCTTGGCTAACATGGTGAAACCCCTTCTCTACTTAAAAATACAAAAATAGCTGGGTGTGGTGGCCCACGCCTGTAGTCCCAGCTACTCAAGAGGCTGAGACAGGAGAATCGCTTGAACCTGGGCGGCAGAGGCTGCAGTGAGCCGAGATTGTGCCACTACACTCCAGCCTGGGTTAGACAGAGCAAAACTTGGTCTCAAAAACAAATTTTTTTTTCAAATTCTGATGGAGAAGACCTAGGGTTTCCAAAATTACACCTATCCTGTGGTAGTAAATATCTTAATAGCAAATAGATGGCATTTTGCCAACAAAATATCACTAAGTCCTCATTCCCCCGTCCTTATACCCCTCAATCGGGGAGGGGGGTATTTAACCCACAGAAAACTAAAGAAAACAATTGTATTATAACAGGTGGAAAAGTGATTATTCTTTATCTTTGGAATCCATCAAAGATAGAGACTTTTTATCCCCCAAGCACTGGGCATGTGGCATCTGTTGAAACATAATCCTACAAACCAAGTAAAAGTCCATGGGTTGCGAGACAACTTGTGCATAGGAACACTTTGTCCTTTGCAATAATGTCTCTATTAAGCATGGTGTGAAATTGTAAAGCTACTCTAATCCACATACGACCAGGATAAAATTACTGCTTCAGGCTTCGGGAAGTCCTTTAATGACCCATTCAAGGTAATCACTGAACGCACTAAGGAACTTGCCATCTCAATTTGTTTTCGTTACAATTACTGTTTTTTCAGTAGACTACTTTTCAGGGGAGTTTTTGGTCTATAATTGCTATTTTAAAAAAAATATTTTCCCCGTTATTATTAAAGAAATGTAATATCATACATCTACTAAGAAAAATCTGTTTTCCAGTTTTAGACAAAGAATAAGCACATTGTATTTAAAATGGTTTCTCCAGAGCCTAAATGGAAGGTGTAATGGAGGGAAATGACATCACTGTTTGAAAATATTTGCTAATGTTTCTGTATCCAGTTAAATGTCATAGATTTTTCTCAGGTAATAATTAGCTTTCTTATTCTCCAGCTCACCCATCTATGTCCAATCATTCATACTCACGCCACTATGCATGTGCACACACATGCCCACACGTGCTCACACACACACACCTTAACTTTTTTTGTAAAGAAGTTGTGTTGTTCCTGGTCAGTGTATAACATTTTTTACACCTTTTTGAGTCACTCTGGAAGACATATTCACATTCATGTGGCTTAAACTTACTCCTTGAAAGTCTGGGAGAAAAATGCTTAAAATACAACAAATTTGAGTTTACGACATGGGTCCCTTATTTAACTGCAGAATAAATGGTTGTTATTTTAATTACCTTTTGTTGTATGGTATTTTAACTCATTAAATGCAAGTGTTACTGCTACTGGTAGCCATTTTCCAGATGGAACTAAGCCTATTTATTCTTAAAAACATGAAAATTTAGAGCCATGTGGCCCTCTGATAGGTATGATCAATTTATCATGTAAATTTCTTTAAAACATATTAAAGTTAAGTGGATACTTAGAAGCAAGTTTTAATTTTAACTCTGTAGTTTCTGGGGAAGCTTGAGGAATCTGCTTACATTATATATTTGAACATAGTGGATAAGGTCTGAAAAAACTTCCTAGAAATGTTTTAGCAAGGCTTACATAACTAATACAATATAAATTTAGAATTGAAATATTTTGTGTATGATATCAACTGAATTTAATCATGTGTCTCTTTAGGGTTCTATTGGAGCACCTGGAATTCCAGGGATGAATGGGCAAAAGGTGAGTTCTATAAAATATTGTATTTAAAAAATAACTTGGTGACCATTGAAATCACAAAATTATTCTAGTTCATAATGTTAGTAATAAGCTTATATGCTTATAAAAACACTACGTATACTTTTGAAATACAGGAAGATTGTGCTACAAATGACCAAATTAGTTTAATTTTTAAAGATGCATTAAAGAGTCAGGAATTCTTTGAAAATTTTCCATTTCAAGTATTTTGGATGTGTTACTGTTCAGTAAATTATGTATGTGATACAACTATATCTTTCTCATAAATAGATATGGAATTGGAAAAATTTATGTTTAACATTGATTGTGATAAACAAAATGCACTTTAGTTTATTCTGGTCGTGGTAAAACTAATATGTATTAATAATTGGCTAACAAAAGTTATTCTCATAGAAGGAACTAGTAAAACTTTCTGAATCCAGAAGGAAGCTCTTTTCACTGTTAAGCAAAAGTAGAAATTAAATAGGTTTGTCCCGCTTTGGTATTACATACACTTTTATTGTACTGTTAATAATGAGGGGAAAAAGTAAAGTGAAAGAAACAACAATACACTCTACATACACATGTCTATGTGTTGTATACATTTACTCCTGCAACATACTTACTAGGTGGACAAAGCATAGCTCCTCAACATCCCTGACTGGCTCTTTAGCCTGGAACCTTCACAGAAACCAGGAAAACCATTGTGGTCGCTGACAAAGCCCATTGCTGAGCCAGTCCGTCAGGAGCCAGGGAGCTGAGCGAGGGACTTTCCTGTCTTCGTCAGAGTTCTTGGCCTGGCCCTTTTATACCCTGTGACCGATTATTTTGCCTTCCCAGAGTATTTTAAATCCATGTACTCTGGACCAAATTCTGAAATCATACGTAACTCAACCCTTTCAGATGCAATAAATACTCCTTGTGATGTTTTCCATCACGTCCATCTTTTCTTTCTGTCAATAAGACATAAACAACCACAACTTTAAACCTAGTAAGTTGCTAAGAGCATGAGTCTACCACTCAGAGGCTGTGTGAATTTTGGCAAAGTCCTTGGAATTCTCTGGCCTCAGTTTCTCATCGGTAAAGGGAGACAATGGCGGTGCCTACCTAATAGAGTCAATGAGAGTTAAGGGAGTAAATAGATGTAAAGTCTTTGGACTGTATTTGATATTACCATTAAACTTTTCCTTCACTTCAGTTCAGTGGAGTTCTGAAAATTCAGTTAATCTATGTTTTTAAGAGGCTCTCTGTTCCCAGAAGTACTCAATTCCCACATGAAATTAATGTTCTCAGCCAAGGCTTATGGTGTCCTTTAGTCCATAAACCGAACACCGCACACTCACCAGTAGTTAACCATCCATGTCAAGGCTACATTTTCCACTTAGTAAAATGCATATCCATTTGCTTCACAAATCCTGGCAAAGACAGAAGATTTAGAATATTGCAGATCACGGAGGGAAACCTAAGCAAAAATTTAAAAGTATATTCATTCTCAGATGGATCTGAAAATTATATAACTCAAGATAACATTTAGAAAGAACAAAATACAGATATGGCATAAATATTGTTTTTGACATTGGTGAAAAACAAAACTTGTATGCCTAAGGTTAATAATGTTTTCCTTTTTCTTCTTTGTTTCTTTTCATTTTTCAACTTTGAGACAATCATGAAAATTTATAGAAACTTTTAACATGAAACAAAACAACTTTAAAACTGTCACATATACCTTTTGAAGACTGCATATTCTTTATTTTTGCAAAGGAAATATGCAATTTCCTTAGCAAGAGAAAGGAATGTGACATTTTCTTGTCCTAGTCACCAAGTTTAAATTATATTTCAAGGAAATAGACAGTTAATATTTGCAGTTTTATGTCTTGTTATACATCTTTGTGGCATTTTAAAAGTGTTTTCTGTAAAACCCAGGGAAATGAAATGATTTCACACTTTTACGACGGCATCAGCAAAATGTAATTTAAATTTGTTTTCCCTCCTTCAGAGAACTGAACCTAAAGCTTTGTGTATGGAATTTCTGTTAGGTCTAGTCATTACTTAACATTTGTAATATTTGCTGTATCATTTTTAGGAAAAGAAAGTGTAAAAAACACGAGTCTCCTTCACTGAAACAGCAGGTCACTTAGTAAAAACAAAACTGGCAATAGAGTAATAATTTTACATACTTAGAGCATATGAGCATATGAAATGAACTCTAGAATTTGTTTTTAAACAATTTTTTTGAACTCTAGACTTTGTTTTTCTGGAGTCTTGAACTCTAGAATTTGTTTTTCTAAGAAAGGAGCTTACAATGACATAATTTTTTTTTAGTAAGAGCACCTCAATATCCTTAAATTGTCTTGAGAAAACATTTTCTTCTCCAATACAATTTTGCTTTTTCCAAAAGAGTACTTTTGATACTTAGAAAAGTTTTCAGACAGTGGTTAGGGGAGGATATAATTTCTAAGCCATCAGAAATATGGCAAATAATATCCAGCTACTTGGGGGCACTGAGGCAGAAGGATTGCTTGAGTCCAGCCTGGGCACCATGGTGAGATCCTATCTCTTAAAAAGAAAAAAGTAAGAAATATGGCCAAAAAACTCAAAAAAAAAAAAAAAAAACCCTGGGGAATAAAAAATTCTCTTCTTATGTTTGAAAAAAAGAAAGAAAAGTATACTGTTTTAAGAAAACACTGGCCAGGCGTAGTGTCCCATACCTATAATCCCAGCATTTTTAGAGGCTAAGGCAGGAGGATTGCCTAAGCTCAGGAGCTGGAGACCAACCTGGGCAACATGGTGAAACCCTGTCTCTATTTGAAAAAAAAGAAAGAGAGAGAGAAAGAAAAACGAAGACAAAAATGCTCTGTTTCCCATAGAACATTGTCCATCCATTCAGGATGGCAAAATAGGTGAAGGCCTTAGCACATAAACTTGGCGTGACATTTTTCCTACACATTATATTTTACATTTTGATCACCTTGATTGCTAATCTAAATATTTATTTTTATAGTGGTTTTTCATTAAGAGAAAGGACTTGCTTAGGCAGTGGCATGGTATTAGACTCCAATCTTGCCCCTTCTGGCATCACAACCTATGAAGGGCTACAGAGCATCCTTCTGTGAAACGTAGGAGGCAGTGTGGTACAGAGAAAAGGGCATGGTCTCTGCATGTGAGAGAGAATGTCCTCATTTGGGCCAGTCACTTAACCTTTCTAAGGTTGCAGTGTACACTATAGAGACAGACCTTGTAGTATTAATTAGGCAACATATTCCTCCAGTAGTATTCTCATGCCTTAAGAATTTCAGCAGGCTAGACACAGTGGCTCATGCTTGTAATCCCAACACTTTGGGAGGCCAAGGTGGGAGAATCGCTTGAGCCCAGGAGTTCAGGGTTACAGTGAGCCGTGATCGTGCCACTGCACTCCAGCGTGGGCAACATAGTGAGACTCTGCCTCCAAAAAAAAAAAAAAAAAAAAAGTGTCAGCAAATGAGCCCTAGACTTACATCCAGTTGAATTCCTCACAGAGAGGAAATGAATATGCAGAATTATACGTAGAGGTAGAATGTGTTCTCTGTACCCTGGCTGTCTCCCTGACCCTAAGGACTAAGGGCCCCAGCTCTTAAGGACTGGGTGGTTGGAATGTCACTGCTATAGATACAAGACACGTTTCACATTATTATGAAAGCACAGTCACCAGCGGGCTGATGTAGGATCCCTGTCCTGGCGTCAGAACATTCTGTACTCTTTCACCTCTTGTGTAGCCTTTGAAGGACTCCTTTTCTGTCTGCATTCAAAGGGGCTTCATTTGTAAAATGAGAGCAGAAGCTGTATCAATTTTTCCCTAAGTTTCTCAGAGATACTATGAGTACACAAAAAGTCCCCCATCCCTCATGTCTTGTTTCCAATGCAACTAGCTTTCAGCATCCTCTGTTCCCAATTCTGAAAGCTGATGTTTTCGTAATTTGGACTTGTTTCCACCAACCAAGCAGTTAGGGCAGATCTAATGCAAATCCTACCTAAAAATATAAAATGTTATCTATTTCTTCTTTGGCTAATTATATTGAACACAAAAATAATGTAATTCTCCTGAAGATCTTGTTGGTTTAAACATATAAACATTTTATTTATCCTCCATAATGTATTCTTTCCCCTACCATGTGTGTGTGCATGAGTGCATGCACACAAACACACACACACACATAATACATGCAGTGATGTATATTTGAATATTGATCAGTTAGTTCCTACTTCAAATACTCTGGAGAAATGTGAGCTATTTAAAATAATTTTATGGTCGAAACGTGTTTTTAAAGTGAAGAATTATTTGGCAAAATAGATTGCTGTCTACAATTTTTGTTTACATACTTATGTCAGTTTTTAAAAATCTGAACTGTTAAAAGGTGTTATTAAAACTCTGTATTTTTCTACTTTTTCCTGATTTACATCTTTCTTAGCATCCATAAGAACAGATAATCACTATGACAGTTTATTTGAAGAGCAATTAGTGCCCAACACTGTGCAAATGCCGTGAAAGAGGAGCTGGAGGCCGGGCGCGGTGGCTCATGCCTGTAATCCCAACACTTTGGGAGGCCGAGACGGGTGGATCACCTGAGGTCGGGAGTTCGAGACCAGCCTGACCAACATAGAGAAACCCCGTCTCTACTAAAAATGCAAAATTAGCGGGGCATGGTGGTGCATGCCTGTAATCCCAGCTACTCGGGAGGCTGAGGCAGGAGAATCACTTGAACCCTGGAGTTGGAGGTTGCAGTAAGCCAAGATTGCGCCATTGCACTCTAGCCTGGGCAACAAGAGCAAAACTCCATCTTAAAAAAAAAAAAAAAAAAAAGAGCTCGAGACAGATGAAGTCCATACAAAGTCCTATTTTTACTCCTCTTAATTCACATCCTTGTCTCTTGATTACTACAAAAATAATGTTGAAGATTTTCAGGATTAAAATGAAATTTTTTATGTCTATGTAAGCTAGAATTTTTCTGAGGCCTGCAGAGTCATAGGGA